AAGTTTAACCCTTTGATGCGTCACTAAGTGTGATTAGAACGTTCAGTGCATCACGTGATCAACTGCTGAATTCAAATCTGCTTTGGCTGGCACGGAGCCAGGTCGGACACGCTGAGCGCTTATCATATTATCACAAATATTCAATGTTTTCAACCATATAATGCTTATTTTAGGTTTCAGACATTTAAATACACATAAGTACTAGCAAACCATACATTTATAGTTTGTAAAATACACGCTGATGTCTATGGAAACAGCAATGATGATCCTTACAAATATAATCTGACGACATGTTTTATTGATATCATATACAGATTGTGTAGGTAACTATAAAGTTTAATCTGCTCTTCTCCCAGTTTACCGGAGACTTACATTAATGTCTTTTGGGAGGAGAGGATGAATGTAACAACGTTCGTAGTCACGGGAAGAAGGAGGCGGGAACCGGCGAACATTTAAAGAAAATTGTAATAATAAAATAAACAAACACAAAATGAAAGTAAAGCGGCAGCCCCTCGCGGACGACTGCCGCACACAAAGCACAAAATAAAACCAGGCCTGGTCCTCTCTCGTCGTTCACTGTCGTCACTCCTCCTTTTATCCCTCCGGAGCTCCTCCGTGGGACTTGAGACCGGTGAGTGGTGCAGGTGTCACTCATCATCAATTACTCCACCGGCCTCGCTCCGTTCCCATGGCTCTCGGCCCTGCCCCCACTCGTCACAATGAATTTACGTGTTATAAATCCCACAGCTCGGATTCAGCACGAACTAACATGACAGCGCCCATCACCCGGTATAGATCAACTATCACGGTCATTATAAAAGTGTTTCAACTACCAAATACATTTACTTGCACATATTTCAGAATAGGAATATCAGATACTTCATAATATAGTGAGAATGTTTGTGAATATTAATAATAAAAAAGTAAAAACGGAATAAAAGCGATCCATGTGTCATACAGCGCTATTGTGGCTGCGGTGCGTCACATGACAAGCATGACGCGTTGCCATGGAAACAATAAGGCTAAACATTCTAAAATAATGGTCGCCTAAAAAAACTCACCCTGGGGGCTCAGCTAGTATATTTTAAACTCACGTGTGAAAGGGTTAAAACATGGATATTTTTCTTACAAAACGCATCCATTCACTAAAGGAGGCCTTTATTCAACCCCCCGCCCCCAAAGCCATGTGAGGCACGTTTATTATGGATGGATGCGCTTTATTGGACTTCTTTTGGACTGTTGAATGAAAACACCCACCCACTGCCATTATAAAGCTTTTAAGAGCCAGGACATTTTTTAATATAACTCCGACTGGATTCATCTGAAAGAAAAAGTCATATACACCTAGGGTGCCTAGAGGGTGAGTAAATCATGGGCTAATTGTCATTTTTGGGTGAACTAAACCTTTAAAGCTTTCGCTCTGTCAGTGGGGGCAGCGAGGCAAAGTCAAATAAAAAATGACCAAAAGAAATGCCATGAAATTAGAATTGATTCCTACATTGCTTATTACACTCTAATTAGTGCGATGGACAATTTCTCTAACATTTTGTAAGATGAGATGAGGACATTCAAAATGCACCAGAAAAATTGCATGGCTGTCATCAAATCTGACCTTGCGCCACACTTCAGAGAAGAACTTGTGGAGGACATTGTTGAGTTTTCCCTGTATCTCATTGAAAGCACTGGCATATCCATGAACAAAATCCTCTTTCTTTGTGTGAAATACCACTCAAAAAAATACAAAAAAACATCAGTACATATTTTGGATTTTTGAAGTTGACAGATGCTGATGCGGCATATCAGACACTGTTGTTGCCTTTCTATCCCAGGTCGGCCTGCAGATCAAAAACATGATGTGCATTGCCACAGATGGTGCCAGTGTAATGGTTGGAAAGCAGCATTCAGTTTTTACCGTACTCAGACAAATGCAACACAACCTACAGTTTAATCACTCTATTTGCCGTTTACTTGGCATTGTTGCAAATAAAGCAAGGAAATTTCTTCTGAGCAAGACAGAATACATGGTTAGAGAAACCTACAACTGGTTCACTCATTCAGCAAAGTGGCAGTTTGACTACAAGAATATATTTTTGAGACTACAAATAATGGGGGCAGCCATTTGAAACTAAAGTCCAAGCTGTTCTCATTGAGGTTGGGATGGCAGACTTGCGTTTACCATATTTTGTAACAAAAAGAAGCTCTCAGACTGCAATTTAACATGGCTTAAAGTACAAAACATTGTTATTATCCAAGACTTTTAAAGGAAATGTACAATGACAAAACCAATATTCTTTACATGCTCTTTCTTCAACCTGTTCTGATGGAAATAAAATCTGTGAATAAATGCTTTCAGCAGGAAACAGGAGACACTCTTGGTGTGTTTAGACCTGGACAGACTGTACATGGCAACTGTTAAGACGCATTTTCAAATCGAGCATCTTATGCATAAGTAATGGCAATCAGCTACAGGAATTTTACCTTACACTGTCTATCATATTTCTGTACTCTCTGTATATGGACCTAGGTGCCACATTTCTGAAGCAACTGGAGGAAAGAAGGTTGGCCCCCAACATGACAGAGAGAATTGCATCTCGTTGTGTAGATTTTCTGAAACAGTGAATGGGAAATGTTATGCAAACTGGAGTTCTTGTGCCAAAAATCTGTGATGTACAGAGGCATCTGAACTCTCTCTCTCTTCCCAAAAGAATTGTTAGCAAATGGTGCGTTCAAGTCATGTCGGATAGATCATATTTACGAGTTGAACGCACATGAACGCCACCACAAAGTCGTTATTACGAGTGGGAAACTCGAACTTTTCTTTAAGCCCCGAGTTTCCGAGTTGGGGGCGTGTCAATGAGAAACATAGTAGAATCGATGGATGCAACGTCTGTAGATGGTAAATTTTTGTTTAAATTGATAGTTTAGTTGTCCTATAAACTTAAATTGGTCATGTTCTTGTTACGCAGCTGGTTAATGAAATCCAAGTTAAAAAAAATGCAGACTCTGTTGTATTTTCTTGTAATTTATTCAAAAGAAGGTACACCGCCATCTTGTGCCGACTAAACTGACTTGA